TCTCTCACTGTTGAAGTGGGAGGTTACAAATTAGCAAGGGGAGAAGGCTAGAATGATTCATGTGATAGTAGATCAGAGGTTGAGACATCAACATAAACTTACACTTGGTTTAATATAGATACATACAGTTCTACATAGAAACCTTTAAAATTAGGGGTGTACAGGTCTGTTAGATGCACACATATACTTCCTAGCATTGCTAAGGACGGACAAGATACAATGTGCTCATTCAGCAGTCAGATGTAAGTTTTCCTACCATTCTCAAAGGAATCAAGCTCTTTGAAGAAATGTCTCGTACTAGAACTGGGACACTAAATATATGAGCCAGTATAATCTTGAAGTATCAGAAAGTAAGTATGTACGAAAAAAAATTAAAATATGTAATAAAAATAAAAATTTATTCTTTTATTAAAAGAAAACAGGAGCCAATAAAAAGAGCTACCCATGACCAACACAGGAATGAATTGTGCAACATAATGCTGTAGTGCTGAATAGTAACTAAAGCTTTAAGTAATTATCTAGGTGTCTGTGTTTGTATACATAGGTGAATAAGCAAATGGAGTTGAATAGAAATCTCCTTTGCAAAAGAATTACAAATAATTGAGGTAGACAGCCATCAAGAAGGTGGAGCTCCTCACTCTGTGTGGGCTCCGCATAGTGACTTGCTCCGAAAGAACACGTGCAATAGGGACAAGGAGGAAAAATAATGCACAGTGGAGAAATCTGAAAAACTAGCTCTGCCGAAAAATCCAAGTGAACATCAAAGGCGATAGTTCACCTTGAGAAAATGAAGTGACAAGAGTAGCACTTCACCTCTGTGATCTACTTCTTCCAGACCCAGAATCTCAGTCTAATTATAAGAAAAATTCCATGTTTAATCACAATGGGGGACACATTCTACAAAATTCCTGACCAATCCTCCTCAATACTGTTAAGGTCATCATGAGATGGAAAGTCAGACACACTGTCACATCCAGGAGCCGCCTACGTGATGACTACATGTCATGACGGATCCTGGATGGGTCAGGGTAAGACGGAACTAAGGGAATCCAAATGAAATATGAATTTTAGTTAATGATAGTCTATCAGTATTTGTTCATTAACTGTGAGACATTATGTAAGATATGAATAAGCCATGTGAGACACACTGACAGAAGATGTTAGTAAGAGAGGAAAGTAGGTTGAAGCTACAAGGGAAATCTCTGCAATTTTTCTTTTTTGCAATTTCTGTGTAAGTCAAAAACTGCTATAAAATATAACTGTATTTAAAACATTGTTATATTTTTCAAACACTTTTGTTTATTTATACCATGAATTGCTAGTAATTGACACTAACTAGTCCTGTTTTTTAAATAAGAGCATTTATGACACAAAAAAAATTAAATAACGCAGACTGATATATAAATCAAAATAAATGTTCTTTACATGTTTTCTGTTACAGTGGTAACACATATGTATAAACTTATTTATCATTTTTTTTCTTGTGCTGTGGTTGTGTCCTGGGTTCATTCTCTAAAATGCTGTTCACCTTAGACCAGGAAAAAAAAAAAAACCTACCAGACTCTGTTTCAATTCATGACTAAATATTTTCAAGAGAGTGACTTTCTAAAAATATGTTCCAAAGGCAAATTGATTCATTGTGACTGGATCACTTCTTCCAAAGACTTCTTGTCTTTATTTTGTTCCATGCCTACCTTTTAGCCATAATACAACAGAATCAAATATTGGCCACTGGGAAAAAATATTCAAAGAAAGAAAGAATGTGAACAGAACTTGTGACCATGAAGATTAAATGTTTTACCACAAAGCTTTCTAAAACAGAAGAGTGTAAAAGGGTATTCAAAGTCAATTTCCTCAATGAGGCTTTGCAGAAAATGGGGAAACTAGAGAAAAAAAATGGCAGGACACTCTACGGGTGATTTTAGATGTTCCTATGCTTTATGGAAAAAAAAATACTTTACCTTTTAAAGAATCACACAGAAGTATTAGAAACCAAAACTCTGGAATGTTTCCAAATTTAGTTGAACCTCTATGTAGTTATGTCTATATAGCTAGTCATGAAGTTGATGATTTTTTAAAAATCCGTGCCTTGTGTAATAAAATACACAATGAATACTCAATGCTCATAGGAAAACATATTAGACCTTGTGAAAGGAAAATCAACCTTGGGGACCGAAAATCACTAAGCTAAAAGGAAAAGTCAAGCTGGGGCTGCTGGGGGCAAACCCGCCTCCCATTCTGTCCAAAGTCACCCATCTGCTCACCGAGAGAAATGCATATCTGAGTGCCTCATCGGGAGAGGGTAACCAGCAACTCAAAAGAATGAAACCATTTGTCTCTTACCTACCTAAGACCTGGAAGCTCCCTGTCTGGCCTTCTCTTCAAGTTGTCTCACCTTTCTGGACTGAACCAAGGTACATCTTTCACATACTGATTGATGTTTCATGTCTCTCTAAAGTGTGTAAAACCAAGCTGGGCCCCGACCACCTAGGGCCCATGTTGTCGGGACCTCCTGCGGAGGCATCATGGGGGCATCCTCAAACTTGGCAAAATGAACTTTCTAAAAAATCTCAGACCGGTCTCAGATTTTCAGGGTTCACACATGTAATGTAGGATATCAATGTTTATAAAACAGATATTATTCTATATACTATTAAAAATATGCTGCCAATTAACCTTAGACTTTCTCAACAAAATAAAAAATGTTGATGAGGTACAAATAATATATTTAAACTTAAATAATGTTGCAAGTTGGCCGGGCGCGGTGGCTCAAGCCTGTAATCCCAGCACTTTGGGAGGCCGAGACGGGAGAATCACGAGGTCAGGAGATCAAGACCATCCTGGCTAACACGGTGAAACCCCGTCTCTACTAAAAAATACAAAAAAAACTAGCCGGGCGAGGTGGCAGGCGCCTGTAGTCCCAGCTACTCGGGAGGCTGAGGCAGGAGAATGGCATAAATCCGGAAGGCAAAACTTGCAGTGAGATCTGGCCACTGCACTTCAGCCCGGGCGACAGAGAGAGACTCCATCTCAAAAAAATAATAATAATAATAATGTTGCAAGTTTTAATATGCCTACTTTTCAATTTTTCAATACTATTTTTACTAATTTAACACTGTAAGAAAAATGAGCAATGAAAACATGAATAAAAGTGTTTACAGGGGGTGCACATGTTTCCTCCAGCCTCTGCCCATCTCCAGCTTTTATCCCAACTGTCCTGATAGTGGCTCTAAGCATTTCTCCTTTCTCTATACCAAGATCTCCCTGCTGAAGCACAACCAAATCTTATCATGTGTTATGACACGCTGTGATGATGAGCAACCAAAGCCTCGAGGAAGGGATGCTTTTGTAAAACAAGACTTGCAGAATATAACGTGTGAAGTAAAACCCATGGAAGATCCCCCTTTAGCACCCGGGGAACAGACAGGAAGCTTTTGCCTCACCTTCCTCACTAGCCCGCAGCCACATCTCCCCAGGTCAGTCTTGAGGACAATGAAACTCTGGTCTTCACTGTGAACACACTACCAGGTGCTCCAAAGCCATGGCCTCTTCTTGGGTGGGTCCTGAGGAGAACAAAGCTCTGGTTCTAATCCTAACCCCAATCCTGTCTCTAGACTTTAACCCTGACCCTAAACCCTGGTCCCTAATTCTGACCCTGACTTTGACCCTGACTCTGATCTTGACCCTGACCATGACCCCACCTCTAACCATACTTCCGGCCCTGACTCTGACCCAGACCATACTCCTAACCCTAACCGTACTATTATCTTTACGATCTATCTCTAATCTTACCCCCTACTGCTAAATAGCTGTACCCAAAAGCACTTATTAAATTATTTAACTTTTTTCCCTTGAATTCTCTAAGGACATCCTAAAGGAGACGTCTTTATATATTTTGCAGTCCCTCTGAGTGGTATGGCTTCAGATAGGAAGTTCTAATACTTTGCAAGACATAAAAAGTTTGGAGAGTAACAGCACGGGGTTGTTAGGGATGCATGTTGGCATTCACGATAGTCATTGGTGCTGTTCTCCAAATATTTTCATGCATTCTGACTATTCCAACCCACCTACTTAAATTTTTGCATGACCACATAGCTTTTTTTTTTTCCTCTCTCTTTTTTTTTTTGCATATGGAGGTGAGAAGAAATAACATGTGATTTTTTCAGGAGAAATCTCTAAGCACAGAGTTCTGTTCAGTATGTTTTTTTCTCTTTTCTATAGCAATAATTTTAGCAATATTAATAGCTTCAAAAAGTAACTTAGCTATTAGGTTTTTAAAAATGTCTTTTGTCTTCCAGTTTGTAAGCCACACTGATCAGGACTACAGAGTTGAATTATTAGAAGTGATAAAGGAAAGATAATGCTTATCTTTTAAAAACATGAATTACCTGTTTAATGAGCACAAACAAGTTTTGTTCTATTCATCAGGTAATAAAGAAAACTTTACACAAAAGGTGAGGGTCAGGGAATGCAGACAACACACAACTGACTTCATGGCAGGAAGATTCTTAGTGCTAATTCAATGTTACCACTTATTAGCTGCAAAATATAATTGTATTTGAAATTTTGATCATAGACACTAACCATCATTATCGACAAAGGATGGCCACTGACCAATGAGAAAAGATGGTGGTCATAACAACCAGCAGTACCCCTGGCACATCCGCCAGTGTGCAGTGACTGTCAGGTCTGACTGATCTGGATGTCTTAACAGCTTCATCTGTGAGTGACAGGATTGCCTTGTGTCAATGGCTCTCAAACCTGGGTGCTTGCTTGAATCTCTTAAATAACTTTCAAAAATATGTTCATCACTAATTCACAATTATACTGTTTAGGAATTATGAATCTGGATGCTCCTGTATTGGGTGCATATATATTTAGGAGAGTTAGCTCTTCTTATTGAATTGATCCTTTTACCATATGTAATGGCCTTGTCTCTTTTGATCTTTGTTGGTTTAAAGTTTATCAGAGACTAGGATTGCAACCTCTGCCTTTTTTTTGTTTTCCTTTTGCTTGATAGATCTTCCTCCATCCCTTTATTCTGAGCCTATGTGTGTCTCTGCACATAAGATGGGTCTTCTGAATAGAGCACACTGATGGGTCTTGACACTTTATCCAATTTGCCAGTCTGTGTCTTTTAATTGGAGCATTAAACCCATTTACATTTAAGGTTAATATTGTTATGTGTGAATTTGATGCTATCATTATGATGTTAGCTGGTTATTTTGCTCATTAGTTGATGCAATTTCTTCCTAGCATTGACAGTCTTTACATTTTGACATGTTTTTACAGGGGGTGGTACCAGTTGTTCCTTTCCATGTTTAGTGCTTCCTTCAGGACCTCTTGTAGGGCAGGCCTGGTGGTGACAAAATCTCTCAGCATTTGTTTGTCTGTAAAGGATTTTATTTCTCCTTCACTTATGAAACTTAGTTTGGCTGGATATGAAATTCTGGGTTGAAAATTCTTTTCTTTAAGAATGTTGAATATTGGCCCCCACTCTCTTCTGGCTTGTAGAGTTTCTGCCGAGAGATCCGCTGTTAGTCTGATGGGCTTCCCTTTGTGGGTAACCCGACCTTGCTCTCTGGCTGCCCTTAACATTTTTTCCTTCAACTTTGGTGAATCTGACAATTATGTGTTTGGAGTTGCTCTTCTCGAGGAGTATCTTTGTGGTGTTCTCTGTATTTCCTGAATTTGAATGTTGGCCTGCCTTGCTAGGTTGGGGAGGTTCTCCTGGATAATATCCTGCAGAGTGCTTTCCAACTTGGTTCCATTCTCCCCGTCACTTTCAGGTACACCAATCAGACATAGATTTGGTCTTTTCACATATCCCATATTTCTTGGAGGCTTTATTCATTTCTTTTTACTCTTTTTCCTCTAAACTTCTCTTCTCACTTCATTTCATTCATTTGATCTTCAAACACTGATACCCTTTCTTCCAGTTGATCGAATCGGTTACTGAAGTTTGTGCATTTGTCACGTAGTTCTCATGCCATGGTTTTCAGCTCTATCAGGTCATTTAAGGACTTCTCTACATTGGTTATTCTAGTTAACCATTCGTTTAATCTTTTTTCAAGGTTTTAAGCTTCTTTGCAATGGGTTCGAACTTCCTCCTGTAGCTCGGAGAAGTTTGATCATCTGAAGCCTTCTTCTCTCAACTCATCAAAGTCATTCTCCATCTAGCTTTGTTCCATTGCTGGTGAGGAGCTGCAATCCTTTGGAGGGGGAAGAGGTGCTCTGATTTTTAGAATTTTCAGCTTTTCTGCTCCGTTTTTCCCCCATCTTGGCGGTTTTATCTACCTTTGGTCTTTGATGATGGTGATGTACAGATGGGGCTTTGGTGTGGATGTCCTTTCTGTTTGTTAGTTTTCCTTCTAACAGGATCCTCAGCTGCAGGTCTGTTGGAGTTTGCTGGAGGTCCACTCCAGACCCTGTTTGCCTGGGTATCAGCCGCGGAGGCTGCAGAATGGTGAATATTGCTGAACAGCAAATGTTGCTACCTGATCGCTCCTCTGGACGCTTCATCTCAGGGGGGCACCTGGCTGTGTGAGGAGTCAGTCGGCCCCTACTGGGGGATGCCTCCCAGTGAGGCTACTCAGGGGTCAAGGACCCACTTGAGGAAGCAGTCTGTCCGTTCTCAGATCTCAAACTCCGTGCTGGGAGAACCACTACTCTCTTCAAAGCTGTCAGACAGGGACATTTAAATCTGCAGAGCTTTCTGTAGACTTTTGTTTGGCTATACCCTATCCCCAGAGGTGGAGTCTACAGAGGCAGACAGGCCTCCTTGAGCTGCAGTGGGCTCCACCCAGTTTGAGCTCCCCGGTCGCTCTGTTTACCTACTCAAGCCTCAGCAATGGTGGGCACCATTCCCCCAGCCTCACTGTCATCTTGCAGTTAGATCTCAGACTGCTGTGCTAGCAATGAGCGAAGCTCTGTGGGCATGGAACCCTCCAAGATAGGTGGGGGATATAATCTCCTAGTGTGCAGCTTGCTAAGACCCTTGGAAAAGCACAGTATTAGGGTGGGAGTGACCCGAATTTCCAGGTGTTGTGTGTCAGGGTTTCCCTTGGCTAGAAAAGGGAATTCCTTACCCCTTGCACTTCCTGGGTGAGGCAACACCTCACCCTGCTTCGGCTCTCGCTCGGTAGACTGTACCCATTGTCCAGCATCCACTATCCAATGCGCCCCAGTGAGATGAACCCGGTACCTCAGTTGGAAATGCAGAAATCACCCGTCTTCTGTGTCGCTCACGCTGGGAGTTGTAGCCTAGAGCTGTTCCTATTCGGCCATCTTGGAACCGCCCAGCTTTAGCTTCTTTCCACGTAATGCTGCATCTGCATTTGAGACCAGAGGTATTAACATGGGTTAAATTGTGAAACTGTCTAGCATTAGATATGGCAGTAGCAACTAGGCGATCAGCCATTTGATTCCCTGCAGTCAAAGGTCCTAGAAAAGCTGTATGAGCCCTAATGTGAGTGATGTAAAAAGGGGGCATTCTACTCCTAACTGCTGTTTGCAATTGGATAAATAAAGTCATCAGTTGTTCATCTGTATGAAATTGTAACAGCATTTTCATTTAATTCTCTGGAATGGACCACATATGAAGAACAGAAACCACATTAATAGGCATATTAAAATCATTCAATACCTCAATTACAACTAAAAGCTCTGCTTTTTGAGCTGAAGTATAGGGCGTCTGAAAATCTTTACATTTTGAGCCAGAATAAGAAGCTTTAACATTACTAGACCCATCTGTAAAAACATTCTCACACCTTCAATTGGTTTAAATTTAGTTATTTTAGTGAGAATCCAATTCGTTAACTTCAAAAATTCAAACAGTTTTGTTTTAGGAAAATGATTATCGAAAATTGTTTAGTAACCAAGTCCTCTAAAGCCTGCAGTTTCTCTTTACTCAGCAGCCATTGTTCTAGCCAATTTGGATAGCATTTTAAAGGTATAGGTTCTGGATGCTTAATGATGGCCACCATCAAAAATGATATCCTAAACCTCGGCGGGAACTTTGTCTTTCCACTTAAGCAGTTCTTTCAAACCTTGCAAATTTTTTCCTAGTCCCATACCAGGGACATACCCTATTTAATGCACCATATGTTGACTTTGGGGGCTATATAATTGTTCTGGAATTAGAACTTGTGCTCCCTATTGTTGTAATAAATCTCTCCCCCATAAATTTATAGGTATAGAAGTTATAACCGGCTGAATAGTCCCAAGTTGTACATCAGACCCTTCACAATGCAAAACGTAACTACTTTGATATACCTCAGGGGATTTACCGACTCCAACTATGTTAAATTAAACTATGTTAAATTGAATTGGCCACGCGGATCACCAATGTTACAGAGAAATGAAGTATCTGCTCCTGTATCTACCACACCTTTAAATTTCTTTTCCTGAATAGTTATTTCACAGGTAAGACATTTAACAGTAATTTGATTCACCCAATAAGCTGCTGTGCCTTGTTTATTTGTGCTTCCAAATCTTCCTGTTCATTTAATTTCACTTTTCCCCACTTCCACATATGGCATAATCAGGAGCTGTGCTATACGCTCTCCTGGCTCTGTTTCCAGGGAACAGACGTAGATATAACAGTTCGAATTTCCCCACTGTAACCTAAATCAATGACTCCTGTATGTATTTGTACTCCTTTTAAATTTAAACTAGACCTTCCTAGAAGTAATCCTATCATCCCCAGTCGCAAGGGTCCACAGACCCCTATTGGAACTTTTTGCGGGAGTTCCCCATGCAGAAGGCTCAGAGCTTTTGTGCAGCATAAATCTACTGCGGCACTACCGGCTGTGGCGGGGGACAGACATTGTACAGCGATGAGGGAATGGTCTGAGCTGGAAATGCCCTCGTTTGGAATGGGGCCTGGGACGGTCTCCTCATAGCATTTCCCAAAATCGGGTTCCCATCTTTTGACACTGATTAGCCCAATGTTTTCCTTTTTCACAATCTGGACATATTTCAGGATCAGCAGTTTTCTTTCTTCCCCTATCTGGTGGGCTGATTTTTTCTACATTCTGTTTTAGTATGACCATGCTTCCCACAGTTAAAACAAGCTCCAGGAAACAGAGAATTTCCCTTATCCACTTTCAGTCCTGCCATTGTCTGTGCCAACAAAGTAGTTTTAAGCAGATTATCTCTGATACCATCAAAGGCCTTGATATAATCATCAACTAAATGTGCTTTCCCTCTAAAAGGTCGCAGAGCAGCCTGGCACTCGGGATTAGCATTGTTGAAAGCTAATAAACACAACACTATACCCTGAGCAGCCGAATCTGCAATCACCCTAGCCCCTAGCCCTAGTCCTCGCCCCTAGCCCTAGTCCTCGCCCCTAGCCCTAACCCTAACCCTAGCCCTAACCCTAACCCTAGCCCTAACCCTAACCCTAACCATTTTTTGGGCTACTTGCTTCATTTTTATAAGACTTTTGCTGGTTTTATTTTTAAGTTTAAAAAAGTTCTTTTTTTAAAAAAAAAGAGAAATCCTTAATTCTCAAAGACTTTTCAAAATAAAACTCTCAAAGAGTAATTGATAGCACTTTACGTGTTTTCGTGATAAAAAAATTCTAAAAGAAAAAAAATAGTTTCATCCTGCTTTCATATTATAACCAGAATCGTTGAAATAATATGCTTCAATTGATAGTAAAGTAGCATTTACGTTTTTGGATCAATGAAGCTAAGCCAGCACTAAGAATTCTGTCACTATTCCTCCACTACGTTTCAGAGTTATTTCTTCATCCCTATATATACCGCAATAATGACTCGGCTAGGTCCATTTAGATTATCAACCCAACCCTAAAAGAAAGAAGATTTCCATTGGTTACACATTTTAGAAAATTGTTATCTTGGAACATCTGCAGTCTAATCTCAATAAATTTCAAACAAGGGCACTGAGACCCCAGCTAATAGAACTATCTAATTCATTTTCAGTAGGGACGCGCTTCTACTAGAGTCTGAGCACGCTCTCCGTCATACATTGTCTCATTAAACCACTGTTTCCAAAGTAGTATCGGTCCTGTTTTATGGAAGAACAACGTTCAAAAATGTCGCATTGCCAGGTAAGTGGTGGAAGCTGAATTTATCTGCCCCCAAAGCTTCACAGACCTGCTTTGAAGGAAGACAGGTATAATTCACAGGTACTTTCAGACGAGCACAGGCAGTATACTGAGGTTAAAAACAATTACCTATTCTCAAACGATCCTCTGTGAGCTTTGTAACTCTTGTTTACCCTGGCAGTTAGTTGCAATACTATCAAGTTGGCCATCAGACAGTTCTGGGTTCTGTTTAAGCTATAGTGGAAAGCCAAGATATAAAAAGCATCACCCGCAGATGGGAATTTGAGACTAGATAGTTAGAAGCTAAGTTTAAGAT